GAGTTGAATTGGCAGTATTGATTTTTTTTTTTTCAAGTAGCAGAAGGTGACATCTTTGGATTAAGATATCATTAGAAACAGGATTTTTCTATTGAAAAATGATTAATGATGTTTTAAACAGTCTTCACTATTTTATGTTAGCAGATAGCAAAGCTAGTGATTGCTTTCAATATTTGGTTGTACAATTTTTTATCTATTTAACAAACCAGAAACTGCACTTTACCTGCCACCACTTTACTGTACATATGATACTGTATATTGATGATTCTTGCACCTTTTCCTCTTTTGTGCACTTTCTGTTGTTTATAAGAGCTTATTTCAGAAGTGAATCTCTCCATTGTGAGATCAATAAAGTTTTATTCTATTGAGAACTTAGATCTATAGGTTACCTTAACCTTAAGATTACAAAAGGGTTACCTTTTCCAAATAGACTATATCTGCAGGCAGGGAGGGTTTAAAACACAAACTAAGAGCTATTTTACGACACTTTGTTCAGGATTCATATTATTTGCTTCAAGTGTTCTCCAGCTCTTTTAAAGCTTGAATCAAACAAAGATTTCTTATTAATTATCAGAAAGAACCAGTGTCCCTTTTCTAGATGATCAAGTTGCTGAATCGGAGCTTTCCTGCATTATCATCTCATTTATGTTTATTGCTTTTTAATGTGTTGTCACGTCTTAGTGTTGACTTCATTTTTTTCCTGTGCTTACAGTCACGCCACAGACATAATGGAGACCGCAGGCTGGAAGTCAATGATCCAGTCCCATCCTCACTTGGTAGCTGAAGCCTTCCGTGCCCTGGCTTCAGCACAGTGCCCACCCTTTGGTCTTCCTAGGAAGCGCCTAAAACAGTCCTGACTGCCCGACTTTATTCCTGGACTATAAAGAAGGGTGTGAAGAATTGGGGGTTTTTACAAAGAAAGGACTAGTGAGTGTGCCACTCTTATTTCCACCAAAACTGAAACACACTTGAATAAAGAGGAGTGGAGCTTTCTGACCAGAGACGTGGGGGGGAGGCTGGCACATGGAAGTCTGTCATCTGTGGATTGGAAAACAATTGATTCAATCGGTGTTGCTTGCTTGCTTCGCTGTCTCGTCTGAACTCTGTTCAGCACGGGAAGCTAGCGAAGCTCTCTTCTACATTTTTATTTCCTGTAATTTTCAAAATGGCCTTAATATATCTGCCATTGCTCTGGAGCTGCTCTACAGCACTTCGTCTATTTTACTCCGTGCCTGCCTTGTCACAAAGACCAGGCCTCCTCCAGGTTGCACTAGTTCCCATGTATAGTCATTTTGATATGGAGTTCTATAGGAACGTAACAAAGGTTTAACTAAATGGGAAATATTATATATTTGTAATGTTTAGCCCGTTTTGTGACTAGACATTAAAAAGCATGAACGCTCAGTGCAAGGTCAGCTCTTTACACTTTTTGAAAATATGCGTATGCCCCATATTGATGGCACCATTTCTATGTAAATGACAATTGAACAATCTTTAGAAGACCAATGTACAAGAAAGTGTGTTCTATTGTGTATTTGTTGGGGGGAGGGGGGTAGTAATCTGCCATCATGAAGACAAGTGTCAATCCATGTATGATGGAAAAGTTTCTGTTTGGCCCAAATATACAAAAAAAAACATTTGAAGTTTATGGAAATAAGCTCTCCGTCTCCCATTCAAATTACATATTCCAGACCATACATCTGTGAACTCTTCTTAAAAAAAATGAATTTGTTCCTTTTAGTATTGCCAACTTGCAAATATATATCCTCAGTATATTGTGGTGAACTAAAAGTGGAGAGACTAATGCATGGTTGTTTTATTGTCAAAAGAAAGTGTCAAAAGTTATGTTTTTAACAACTCGTTTTCTGCAATTAATTGACATCTGTGCAGAATTACATGAATTGAGTATGTGCAAAAAGGTTCCTCTAACATGCTTGGATATCTGTAGGATGCTGAGCATCACTTCTACTGGCAATGTTATTCTGTGTTTCAATAGGGGGGGGTGTTGTCATGGTTATTCAGTCCGTCTTGTATGTAGTGTGGTGTGACAGACACTTCGGAGGATTTTGTAAAGTGAGAGTAACATCATTTTTCTATGATATTGCTCGTCAATCAGCGTCACGTTGAAACTTTGGAAAAATTATGAAGTCGTTGTCTGCAAGAATGCCTGCATTAACCCATTAAAACATTTTCCAGCAGTCTGAAGTGACTCAGCTTCATTAATGTTTTCCTTAACTTAATTGAAGGTTGTTAGGATCTGTTCTACCACAGGAAGAAGGGTTAAAACCATCCCATGCTTCTTTTTATCACTGTGTTAATGGATGGGCATGTTATGTTGTGGTGATTTTACCGTTCCTTTCTCCTGCATCTTTTTTTTTTCCCCCAATTATAATTACAAAGCCTAACAGGCCTAATCAAAAAGAAATGCACTGAGACTGCACTGTTAAAGTGCCATTGTAGACGTTACCCCCCCTCTTTAAAAAAAGAAAAAACAGATAAAAGACTTTTTCCCTCTCTTTTTATGTGAATGCGAGGGCCCAGCTCTAATTAAAGTGGATGCGAGGCCGCTCTTTCCTGCTGGAAGAGACATCTTCATCAGCGGCTTGCTGATCCACGTCCGCCCCTCTCAGCACAGATCCTTCGAAAAGGCCTGATACCATCTCAGCTTCAGGATGCCTCTCCAACCTTTTATCTTTCTCCTTCGCTTTCCTCCACTAACTGTAGTGCTTGAAAGAGAAGGAGCCCGCAGTGGTGCTGTCAAAATTGAAATATTCTGTCGTTTAGATGGTGGCAAATTTTGCACTAGATGAGGCAACAACAGGAGAAACCAAAAGGAATATGTCCGTATTTGTGAAGTGAACTGAACCCACCTGCTATAAGTCCATTTCTTGGTGTCTGCTTTGAATGAGCACCTCACTAAATTAAAAGGTAAATTCAGTTCAGTAAATTCATTCTAAAAGGCAGACTAAAATTTGGATATATTTCATGCACCCTTTTTACTATTTCAGTTTTTATTCTAATGAAAACCCCAAAAGAATTTTTCTCAGAAAATGTTCATATTTCATTGCAAAACTATTTTTAAAGCTAAAATGTCGACAGATGTATCCCATGTCTCGGATCATGGCTTTATGATCCTCTCCGGGCTTTATCCTGGAGGCTTGTGCATCTTTTTCTGTTGTTTTTTTTTCTTTTCTTTTTCTTTCTCGATTAATAAGCTCGGACGCAGACCTCTTCCCAGCAGCTTCTTTAGCAGTGACCTTTTGTAGCTTGCCCTACTTTGGGGAGTGCCTGATACAGGCCACTGGAACACTGATGGGATTCTTTACCTTGAACTGTGCATCCCTCGGCAGCCTTTATTCAAAAAATTTATGATAATCTTTTTTTCCTTTTGTCGATTTATTAAAAACATATTTGGTTTATATAAAATTCGTCCAATTGTGTAATTTAATGACTTCCTAAACCAAAATATAGTTTTACCATATAAATGTGTCGTGGTCCTGTAAAACTTTTTGATGAACTTTAATCCATAAAACTTTACAGTTTCTCTTCTTCTTTCTTTTTACCAATGTTTCACAAAGAGATTAGAGATTTATTTATTTTTTACTGGGGTACTATTTGCCTTTATTTTCTATAAGATGCACTAGAAAAAGGGTGAAGAATGGAGGACGGGGGGGCATGCATCAAGTTGTCAGGGGTCAGAAAATAACCAGGACATGACTCTTAGGGACTGCAGCCTCTGCACATGTTGCACTCGCCCTACTACTGGCCCATGTGGCATCATCAATTGGAATTAATGTACGTGATGATTAAAGGTAAAATATAGTCCATCTTTTATTTTGTATAAAACATCCTGAGAGCGATGGGATTAGAGAATAATGTGATAGTAATAGCCAAGGAAGTTAAATAGAAATAACGCTACAATATTTTTCCTTATTTTACTGCTTCATTTTTATTTTACACATTAAATTTATTGTTGATGTTCTGCTGGTTTCCTATATTTTATACGTAGACAATAACATTGGCAGAAATATTTATCTGCTCTAAATCTACCATCAGTTTAACTGTTTATTAAATTGTTTATGAAATGTTTATAAAACTGTTCTGAGACTGCAGCTTTTTTAACACGGCAGACCCTTTGGCTTTGGACACTCAGATTTAGCTGTTAGCGTTAGCCTCCAGAACCAACTAAATCTGGATTTATGCCAGGAAGATATACTATAATCTTTTAACAAAGCCTTCCTTCTGACTTGTCCCTTCAATTTCATATCTCATTAGTTTCATTTGGTCTTGAACTCGTTCAGCAATCAATGTCAATTAACCGAGATGTGTTATTTGTATTCAATATGAAGCTGTAAATTATGTAAACTCATTTTATCGTCACATAAGTGGGCATTTTAAAAGCTAATACTCTGAGAAGCGAAACATAAAAACAGAAACACATATCAGCATGATTTTTAAGGATTTGGATGAGTGCAGGCAGGGAGAGACTTGATGCTGAAGGAGTAGCTGCCTCATGCTGATCAGATAAGAGTAATGGAAGCGAATGAAAAGACCCCTGTCTCTGATGGCCACAGCAAAATGGATGTGCTCCCTCAGGTGTACCTCTGGTATCATCCACGCCTGTTGACACAGATTTATTGCCCATTAAAAAGCTACACCGAAATGTACCTCTTAAAAATGGTGTGTTTATCCTTTTGAGGAGTCCTTTCAGGAATGAAACGAGACAACTTTGAACATCAATAGACCAGGGCAGACTTGGTGTGACAAGATGCTGGTAGCCAATTTGCTCTTAAGATTTAATGCCATAAAGACTTAAAGTGATCCTGAACTATTAAATGTTAAAATTAAAATCCTTTGAATATGAACATGTGTAATCACACTACACACATACATGTTTTCCCCCTTTTTCCCCTCTTTTACAGGAAACGAACCAAGTGGGAAACAAAAACACAATGTGAAATTACAAAAATGGAAAATAAAGCAGTCTGTGACAATGGGCGGTAGGTTTAACATTTATGTACATGATAGTTCTGATAAAACACCAAAAGCACACATAATGGTAGATCATTTAAGGAAAACTGAAATAAGCTGACATCATTTCCTCTGAAGCCATGGTAAATACATCTGGTTTTAGAGTTACATATTAAACACACAGCATTGGCACGAGTAAAACTAAAAATATCACTGTACAGTAGAGACTCTGGTTTATCATACACCTCACCTCGCCCAAAAGGTGACAGGATCATTTACAGATGATGGGACCATGAAGTAGCATCAACTGAAATAATTGCAGTGTCATCTGTGTCACATGCCCTAACCTAAGACCCCGGGGTGTGTGCAAGCAACGCAATCTACGGCTTTCTGTGTGATGATGCTTTTCAGCAAAACCTTTTAAAACTGTCTTGGTGATTGCAATGTCAAAGCACATTACACCGTGTACTTACAGACTGGATGTTTTCCACTTTAAGTCTGCCAGCTTAGTCTTGCTGCACGATTGGGAAAAGCCTGATGTCTCAAATATATTCCCACTTCTTAAAATTACAGATTTCTTTTTTTTTTTTCTACCTCAGCCCATTTCTTTCCGTTTTTCAGCTTCTCTTCTCTTGGTGAATAGAAATTCCAAGGCTAATTAAAGCCTATTAAAGACAGGTAATGTCAGGGCTGCTAGGAGGACCATGACAAAGTACTGATAATTGTCTGCCAGACTCACTAAATCCACCTGTCCTGCAATTATTACATCCGCCTCCCCTCCTCTCCTGACACATTAATCCACTGCATGGCTCGCTCGGCAGGATGATGCCTCAAACTGCATCCTGCAAACACAGATGTTGGATTTCAGACCAGTTTAACACACACACACACCTTCGGGTAATTGGGACAGGAAAATCCACTCTAGAGCTGAAATTTAATGCAGTATTTCTACCTCTTGAACTTTTCCACAAAACCTCAATTTAATTGAGATTTCATGTGATTTCTTTAGTTTTATAACACTTTGCTTCCATTTTGCATCAGACGTCACTTAAAAACATGTAGGCATTGGTAGCAGAGGAGCTGCATAGATCCACTGCTCAGGAAGGGGAATACGTTATTAGGTGCTGTGCACATGTTCTTGTTTGTGAGCATGGAAAAACTGTAAAAAACTACGTAATAGGTTATCTGTGCACACTGAACTGAGAGTTACTGTATGGATACTTGGTTGTTTGACCATTATAAATTTGTGTTGGACTGGTGACCTGTCCAAGGTATATCCTACACCCTACCAAACACCTCGCAACCGAGGATGGATTATCACTATTAGATTTGCACACTACAAATCTGGCTTTCATTAAAGCCATTTTTTGAAGGAAACCCTTAAGAAATCTCATGTGCAGTTTACCATAAGTCATTTAAGGTCCACAAATAAAAAAAAAAAACACACTAAAATATGCTCTGGTCACTGTTTTGTCTACATGCAAACCATCTGTGACAAAAACTAACAGTAGAAATTAACTTAAGCATACTGTTCTTACAGTGAAACAAGGTTGTGGCAACATTGTGCTGTGGAGATGCTTTTTTTAAGTTAGGAAATTAGAAGAGTTAATTGGAAAATAGAGGATGCTAAATACATGGTAATGCTGGAAAAGAACCTGCTAGAGGCTGCCAAAAAGTTGAAGCAGGGGTGGAGGATCACCTTCCAGCAGGACAACAGACCTAAACACAACCCTGGCCAAAGCTCTTTAGTTAGCATTCCTCAAAGTCCAGAGATATTACCAATAAACTCCTACAAAGATTCAACTTAAAAAAGAAAAAAAAAAGCACAACCCAAAAGACCTTTAGATTTTACTGCAGTAAAAAGGATTTACATCTTCACCTATGGGAGATTTATGTGGAAAAGTTCAAGCAGAGGGAATATGTTTGCAGAACACTAATTCTGAACAATTTCATCAGTCTTTAAAACAGATTAGATCAATGCATTTAGTCATGTTCAAGGTTGAAATGCTTGGTTATTGTCCTGTTAAGCCATACATGAGAAAGATAACTACAAATGTATTAATCCTTGCTTATTAAAATCCCTAAGAAAAGACACTCGCTGAATCAATTTGAAATAATTGACGTTTTTTTTCAGTTTTCCTTGCATAAATGAAAATCAGTTATACCTCAAAGTCAATAAACCATTTACCCATTTTTTAAATAATATACTGCATTATTGAATCACTGTGTGACCTACTAAATAACTAAATCTTTTTAGAAAATAACTATTAAGATGAATCAAAATAGCGTCATATGTTAAGTTAGAATTATTACAATTAGCAGACACAATTTTTGGCTCCAACACTGGCAGAATGCAGGTTTGTACTTTGCCCATGGTCTAGCTTTAAGGAAAACATCTGGACAACACACTAATTACGATAACGAGCCTGTTCTGTTGTGATGGGAGCTAGCACTGCTTTTTGACCTCTTCAAACCTCTAAAACCAAGTCTGAAGACCTACTGTTTGAAGCTTTTTTTTTTTTTCCTGGATACATGTGCTATATTTACAGAGGTTTTGTCAAATATTTCAAGTGTATATGTCTAAATGCAAAGTGACTTTGTTTGAGCAATTTTAGGTATTCAGGGTTATTTTTTTAGGGACAGTAAGTTTAGAGTTTCACATTTACATAATTTGGAGAAAAAACACAAGGCTGCTGCCACCTAACAGTTATGTCATCCTGTGGAAGAATATGGTGTTTCACTGTGGTAGTTGTAGTCAGGGCATACCTTCTGCACCAGTTTATAGTCCACACTATAAAAGGCTATATAGATGCATATGACTTTGAAGGGTTTCGAGCACAGCCATGAAACGTGGCTCTGTGTGTGCTCCTGATAGCACACCGTGGACGGGTCATAGCCACACAGGGCGGTCTTCTTGTTCCGGTCTGTTTTCTCGTATTCAATGCGACAGTTGAACGATTTGGTGTCTTTGTTCTCCAATGTGGACTGCTGGGCGATCTCGAACTCCACAACCTTAGAGGGTGGCACCAGGCTGACAGAGACGTTTCCCATTCCTGTGGAGTTATGCCGGAAGTAAACGCTGAACGTTCCGTTCCCGTGGTCCACGATCTTCCCAGTTATCAGAAGGTTGAGCTTGACTGTCTTGATGTTTGAGTGGAAATCCCCCCACCCAAACATCTTTTTGAATTTGCCAGTCTTCACGATGGGTCTGCGTTTAGTTCTGGCCTGTGCACTCTGAACATCTGTCTGGTTAGATAACCAGTCCCAAAAGTCCTCCGTGTTCTGTAAATATGCCATTTCCCTCATGTTGCTTTTGAGCTCCGGGGAGCCTCTGGCAAACAAACGCAGGGGGTTGAGAATCCGTGGACTTGCCCCCGTGGGAGAAATCTTGTGTCCGTTGTCACCGTCCCTCCACTCGATGAGCTCCGTGGCGCCTCCATGCACTTTCCTGCACGTGACCTACATAAAAATCAGGGGGAAGGTAGAGAAAAAAAATAAAGTTAGATTAAAACTTTGCAAAATTTTTTGGGAGATTTATGAGAACCAATAAATAATTCAGAATCAATTACTCAATAAATGTTTAATTATTCATTTGCCTTTTACAGCTATCCAAAGAAACTTTAGAAAAATATAAATATGATTACATCTATTCACAGTTGATTTTCTTAGTTTCGATATAGAATTGCATCAGCAGGTAATAAAGCACATATTAAAATAGACGCATCACGCCGGGCATTCAGCCTTCAAAGCAATTAAAATATGATTCACAAATATTATTTACAACCAATTACTAACCAATTATTCTTTGAAATCCTAATCATTTTTCTCTGCTTTCCTTTAACAGTACAATGTTGACTTTCTTAAAGATACATTTCTGTTTGGGACTAAGGTAAAAATTGAAGAAATAAGAATCCACTGCTGTGGAGTAATAAAACCTGGAGTGCTAATGTAATTTGACTGTAAGCATACAGAAACAAGTTTCCAATAATGTTTAACTGATGTAACCAAATACAAATGCTAAAAGGTTTTTAAAACAATTGTGCATAAAACAGATGTAATACATATTTTTTTGTGTCATTTTTGTTAAAGCAATTAAAGTGTCCAACTAAACAGATTTTTTCAAACAAAAACAAAAAATCCTAGTTTGATGCAGATGGCAGAAGATCACCCAATATCATAGTGCTATGATGTCATTCGCCAAAGTGAGGTGCTTTGCAAATTGCTAATACACTTCCTTTCACAATGTGACTCTGGTGAAGTTATGATGTGCCTGATTTGTGTTTTAAGTTGGAGTATTAATCGGTTCTAGGTAAGCTGTTGAACCCAAATTAAACTTATTTTAGCTGCAAGTCTTAGAGGGGAGTGTTGGCCTAGTGCAGCGGTCACCAACCTTTTTACCGTTGAGGGCTAATTCAGGGGCACTGAGTCACAGGAAGGGCTACCCATACTGACCTGTGAATTGCAAGGGTCAACGTTCACCTAAACTTCATACATTATAAACATATCTTTATAATTTTTATTTAAATTTATAATTTTCTTTTAGATATTTTTTTTATTTTGAAATCTCTATAAATGCTTAAATGCCATATATGATTAAATGATGAAATGTTCTATAACCCAATTAAAAAAAGAAGAGCAACAGAATACAGTGAAATTTCAAACGTAGCTCACTGTTGAGTCGTTCTATTTTCAGAAGACTCTAAGGGTCCTTGAGGGCCCCTTGGTGCCCGCAGGCACCATGTTGGTGACCCCTGGCCTAGTGGTTAGAGCCATGCGCTTGTGCGTTGAGAAGGTTGCAAGTACTTGGTTTGATCCCTGCAGCCTGCACTCTGGGTTCCTGAGCAAAACCCTTAACCCCTCATTGCTCCCCGGGCGCTACACAATGGCAGCCCACTGCTCCCCAAGGGGATGAGTTAAATGCAGAGGTAATTTCTCCAATGTTAAATCAATAAAGTTCAATTATTATAAAGTCAAAAAATAGAACCAACTTAGAAGTGGTAAATAATTGTGGTCTGCACCTTTCTGTGCATGCCAGTCATGTCAAACAAGAATTTAGATCCTGCATGGTGAATCCTGTCTCTAAAAGGAGGAATTGCAACTTCAGGTGGGATTGCATTTTCTACCAGAAAGGAGCAGTATAAGCAGAAGTGACAAAACGTAGTTGTGGCCACATAACAGTCTGACAGAAGTTTGCAAAAATTATTCCTTCAAGCTGCATGAAGTTCGAACTAATTTTTTGCATTTACAGTTTGTTTTGAGATCAGAGCCATTTCATAGCTTTCTACTTCCCAATTTAATTCACTAGTTTTTGTTAGGTAATTTTAGGAGTCATCATTTTAATCCTCTTTATAACTTATATTTCTGTTTCAAGAGACCCAAATACATTGATTTCTGGAGCGTTCTTTTCAAATTAAATTCAAATTGTTTTTTTTGTTTGTTTTTTTTTCCCTTTGAGCAACATTTGTTTAAATATTCAACCTACAGATGAAGGTATTTCAGGTTACTTGAGCAAAAATAAACTATCATAGCATCAACTAGCATTAGCTGCCTAAGATTCATGTTCAATTTCTCAACTGTTTTTTTGTCAGTAAGATTTCAGAATCCCGCACTAATGTCCACCACTGTTGTGGTATCATAACGTATGTCAGGCATTGCTCTAATCCAAACACTGCATTCAAATGTGTTCCATTCTTGTTTGTATCCAAACCCCTTTTTGCTTCAGGCTTGATTTCTGGTCCACTTCAGATAAAGCTGCAGTAATTCACAGCAATAGGCTTAGCTAGTTTTATTAGTAATTAGTAGTGCTCTCTCTCCCCCCAGGCCATGTTATAGGGATCACTGAGAGAAGCAGATGTTGAGAGCACACGGCAGCGGCTGTTTGAATCCTCACCGAAGATGCTGTGCACTACTCCCAGACTAATTATAATTTTGCTGTAAGCCTAACTGAAACACATGTGTACAAAGCTAACAAAGTAGGTCGTCTGGTTCAATTTGTTTTGTCGCACTCACATTACCAAGCTCTCCATCTGACACGTAATAGGGCTGCATGCATCCTATGCTGCTCTTTTATAATTACAGCTTCTTTTAAATGCTGCTTATGTCCCCCGCTGCAGTGGCACCCTAACGCCTAAAGCGGAGGAAAAAGACTCGGCTATCTGGGTATGGAATGTGAAATCAATAAGTCTGCTAGAGAAAGTTAGACTAGCCAATCCATCAGCCTGCAAAATGCTTAATTAAGACAGTTGTTTCCTGTAAACATGGATAAATGAGGCAACAATGTAATAATGTTCCCCCTGTGTAGTTCATGACAGCCACAGCCATTTAATCGACCAGGCACCGGTGGCAATATCCCCAGCAGATGCTCTGCGTTTACTAGTACCTCAAGTGAGCTCTGTTGTTAATTTGATTTAACTCCACGAACAAAAAATAACACTTCTGACCGGATGTAAAATCTGTGCAGTCCCAGCAGGAACATTTCTTCACCCTTGGAACCAAACAAAGAAGTAACTCTTGTTTTCTCCAACAACCTCAAACTGTTTTATCCATTACACAGTGCGCTTCATGCTGCGTTGCTCCAGAGGTGAAACTAAATTGTCTTTCATTGTGAATCTCAGGTGAGCTTTGTCGAGGATGATTATAATGGAAATGAGAGAGCAGTTTTAAGCATGATGAGCAACTGGGGAAATTGCTGTGACAACAGGCGGATCAGCGCAGGGATATCTAATACTTAAATGCCTTGGGAGAGATGAAGCACAGGAAACTTAAAAGCTTGTACTCAAAACACAGGCTTTTCTTTTGCCTCCTTTCTAACTGTCTTTGCCAACCCCTTGTTCATTTAGGTGAGTGTTGTCGCAAAAAAAAAAAAAAAAAAAAAAAAAAAAAAAATCTGACAAAAAGAGTATGAGTGTTAGTAAAAAAAAAAAACAAGGCAAGGTCTGATGAAGGAGAATCTACAAAAGCTTAATTAAGATTTCTTAATCGGTGCTGGAGCGCTAGAGGCATTTCAGGGGGACTTGAAACAAGACATTATTATGATAATAACTGCAGACTTCATTTCAGCAGCACGAGGCAAAGATTGGTGAATATCTGTCTGTGTGGTATGGCTTCTTCCTTTTCCTGTATGTCTGACAGAAAAACAAAGAAAAATGCATGAACCTTGCCCTGATGCAACACATCAGTTAATGTTATATCAGACTCGCTAACAAATTCTGAACCTGTGACAAGTCTTTCAAAATATATTGAATATTACATGGTATGAACATCATTTTCCTGTTACAAAACAACTCTAAATCAAGTCACAGACTTTGCATCACTGTTAACACCAAAACAAAATACTGCATATTTGCACCATATATATTTGGTTTTAAATGCTCTTAACTTCCATATTATTGCGTTTTGCACCATGTTTTTTCTCCCAATACTGTTTACATTTGATCACTGCTGCACTTTATGAAATAGTAATGTTCATTTCAGTGCTAAACTGCTGCTTATTTACTACCTGAAAGCTATACAAAAGGACATTTAGTTTTGTATACATTATGTGTATACAAAATGAAAATAAAAGTCTGACAAAATAACTGATTTGTATTATTAGCTCAGCTATTGCACCCTCCACTTTTGTAAGCAACCGCTCGCAGGATGTACAAAAACAGTGAAAAAATAAAAATTTAAATCAAACATTGAAGATAGATATATCATTCTAGTGTATTCTTATCTTTGTAAAGGAAATGTCTGTGTTCACATCTTTAAGCTTTCTATCCCAGATTCTTCCGTGAAAAGAGATAACTCGGGTCAAACTATTTAAATAACACTTCATAATGTATATGTATTAAATAACCATGAGACATAACAATAGATTTTTATATAAATTGTAATCTTGCTCAGACCAGAGAATTTGCTTAGGGTCACAGAAGGCAGTGCTTACCAACTGTGTTTGCTTCTCCATGAAGCATTTTATACAACTCCAGTATCACACCCTGCCACATCATTACATTTTACATGTTTGTAGATGTGGACATTCCCTGATTCCAGGCATATCAAAATAAATGATCAAATTTTAGTCAGGGGATCAAAAGTAATCAGAAGCAAAACTTCACAGACCACAATTTGGGTTTTACTCAATTGAACTGGCTGTTTTAGTTTCCTATGTGCAGTTTATTTTAATTTACATAGATCAGGTAAGCCATGCCTATATTGTTAATAAGGTTAAACTGATCTACTCTCATTCCCAGCTTGAGGCCTCCTAAGTATGACCGCTCATTCTTGATAAACAAATCATCCATATGTACCAACTGCTCAGTCACAGTGGGGGACAACACAGGACCAGCCGGGCCATTGCCCATCTACATAATAGGGTTGACCTTTTGGAAATCCTTCTTTTGACATGAAACCCCAAGCATTTAAATAAATGTTCATGCTCAGGTTGGAACATATATAGAGGGTTTTTCAAAATGTTCTCA